CTGCATGGAAACAAATCTGTTTCTCTAGTTATCTCTATTTTTTATGTTTTGTAGTATAGATAATTTAACTGACAAAAATGAGAAAGTCAAGAACATGATTCAGAAGATAGTAAACAAAGGTGTTGTAATGCATCAGAAATGCATTTTGTCTTAGTCCCATCCTAAATTCATTTAATAATAATATTACAGGTACAGTATAACAGTAATGCTACATACAGTATATATCCATATATACATATGTTCCTGCTCTCTTGCCTTGCTGGCACCATTTCTTTCTCTCTTTTATTGGGAAAAAAAAGATTAAAATACATCACGAAATGCACCATTTCTAATATTAAGGCTCATTCACCTAATGAATATGGTTGGGAATTTTTTTCTGTGATTGGAAAGTTTGTATGCAAGAACACCAAGAATTTCTGCTATTATTATAAATGGTGCCTACACTTTCCAGGTTAAACTGAAGTAAAAACCTAAATAAATGTATTTTTCCAAAACTGTGAAAATAATATGTTAGATAGAACATTGGCTTTTCATCCAAATTAAAATTAAAATTATAATAATATTAAAAGATAAGACCACCAAATTCCTGTGAGATTATAAACCTCATGAAATTTCAGAGGCTCCAGAGGATCTTACCGCAGGGGTCTCCAACCTTGGCAACTTTAAGACATGTGGACTTCAACTCCCAGCTTTGCTGGCTGGGGAATTCTGGGAGTTGAAATCCACATGTCTTAAAGTTGCCAAGGTTGAAGACTACTGTCTTATGGGATATCAGTCAGAACGCAAAATGTCATGACATTTCAATGTGCTCCTACAAAACATGCTGTTCTTCTGAGAGATTTTGGCAATTTTCTCATTTTGAGGAGAAAAATGATGATGGGGATCCTAGGAGATTTCTTGTAATGGGTGGCCCTTCATGACAGTGTGTAAGATCACATGTCAATGCCCAATTTCTTTTCTCCTTATTGGATTGCTGAAAGCCTTAAGAAGAGCATCTAGGAGCTGCAGCACATCTGTAGAATGCCTAATTTTCCATAGTAAGATGAGTCATAACTTAGATATATTATTGGCAAATGAGCAATATGTTGTTGAAAAAAATACTATATTTTAATAATAATATTTTTACTTTTCTCAGGGTAAATACCTATCATTGTTTCTTTCTAATGGATATAATTAAACCTGACCAGAGTCACCTCAAACTGTGAGACAGATAGATGTAAATTTAGTAAATAAATAAATAATATACTGTAGGTATTTTATAATATAGCAGAACTTTTGCATTGGTTCCATGGCTTCCCCTAAGGAATGTATGCACTTTTATTTTCTTGCTGGATGCTAAGGATTAGCTATTTGGCTGTATATACATTAACTTATACTGAGAGACTGAAAGGAAAGCTCAGTTGTATCATGAACTCTCCCTAAGTTTAGAAAAACAAAGAAGAGAAATGTGAATGGGGAAACAAAATGAGAACAATAAAAGGGTTTCTAGTTCAGAGGTCCCCAGCCCCCAGTCCATGGACCAGTACCAGACCGCGGCATGCCAGCAACCAGTCCGCACAAACAAGCAAAGCCCCATCCGCAGGATGCAGGCAGCACACAAAACCACACACTCTCCGGTCCATGGAAAAACCTCTCTCCATGGAACTGGTTCCTGGTGCCCAAAAGGTTGGGGACCTCTGGTCTAGCTGCAAATATTGTTTCTGTTATAGGTATCACAGAGGTGAAGACAAACATTACATTATAATACACTTTATTTTAATCATGTTTCTTTCCTAGGAAAAGTTACAGTTCCTACACACTTACTGTATTTCAACAATCTTTGGTTACTTTAGCTTCTAGACAATGAGGTATGGGAATTTTAGTTAGAAGTGTCTCTGATAATAGTTTCCCACAATTAGAAGTGGAAGCCCAGAGAGCAGCTAGCAGAAATGAAGGTCTATGCAATGGGTCAGGGATAGCAACCGAAGAACCTCAAAAAGGCTATGGGATTGCTTAACCATAAAGTGGAACCAGTTAATTGAAAAAAAAAAAAAAGTTTAACCTTCAGTCTAAATTCTAACTGGCTGTCAAATTAGAGCCAAAAGATTTTGCTACAACTTTCCTTCTTTTCATTGCATATATCAAGAAAATAAACCATTATAGGCACCTGATTCATCTTGTTCCCTTCCCTTGTACATGTCACTCAACTGATTGGATAGCATGGGCATGCTCTTTTTCCCTTCTCTTAAATGTTGCCATCTTATGGGAATATGAAATGTGCCTTTTCCATTGTAGCCCACCCCCTATAGAACTCTTCCCTGAAATTTAACCTTCCAAATAGCATTCAAGACCTGGCTGTTCCCCCAGTATGATGCCAGGTTTTTTTTTATTTTAATATTTTGATGTTTAATAAAAGATGTTGAGACTTTAGAAAGAGTACAGAGAAGAGCAATAAAGATGATTAGGGAACTGGAGGCTAAAACATATAAGGAACAGTTGCTGGAATTGGGTATGTCTAGTTTAATGAAGAGAAGGATGAGAGGTGACATGATACAGTGTTCCAATATCTCAGGGGCTGCCACAAAGAAGAGGGAGTCAAGCTATTTTCCAAAGCGCCTGAAGGCAGTAGAAGAAGCAATGGATGGAAACTAATCAAGGAGAGAAGCAACCTAGAACTAAGGAGAAACTTCCTGACAGTTAGAACAATTAACCAGTGGAACAACCTGCTTCCAGAAGCGGTGAATGCTCCAACACTGGAAGTTTTTAAGAAGAGACTGGACAGCCATTTGTCTGAAATGGTATAGGGTTTCCTGCCTGAGCAGGGGGTTAGACCAGATGACCTCCAAGGTCCCTTCCAACTTTATCATCATTAATAATAATAATAATAATAATAATAATAATATATTTAATATCTTTCATTTTAATAATTTTATTGTGCATAGATATGGTTGTATCTCTTGGTTGTGAGCTACCCAGAGCTAGGTATAAGGTGGGTAACTATATAAATGTTTTAAATGCATTAAATCAAATCATGGTGGATAAGTATAGGAACCACTTATAATCTTGTAATATTAAAAAGCACCGTCAGTCAAGAGGAAGAGCTAATGTTGGCCATCACTGAAACATTCTGTATTTTGGAATATACATCTCATGTGTAATGAAATATACTTAGCCCAGAGAAGACAAATTATCCTTTTCTGAAATATAAGGAAGGCTTCTTCCATACTCTCAGTCACCTCCAAATGTGATGCCACATGCTAAGAGACAGAATCCAGGCTTGCTAAGCAGATGAAAAGGACAAGCATGCAAATACTCCTTTCAGTTCCAAGGGTCTGTGATAGCCAGGGACAAATTCAACTTCTATTTATGTCTTCCCCCATACGGCATTCTCTAGAAACAATTCCCAGTGTTTCTTCAGCAACAAACATTATGCACCTATGTCTGTCCTTGTCATAATGCTGTAACGATGAAACATGTCTTGTGACATTATGGTGCACAGCTCTGTTCTTTCCTACTTGTGCTGTGATGTTGCATTGCAAAAATATAAAGGTAGAGTGTGGAACCTGAAACATGTCATTACCTGCCCACTTGCCATTCACTATGAATGCCTATTAATATTAGTAGTATATTTTATACTAAAAATATAGGCAGTACCTTAATACAGTAGAAAACATTCATAGAAATAATTGGCAAGTTTATCTCAAATCAAGAGAGCAGACTTCAGAGATCAAGTCAATCATCAGGTGTAAACATTCTTAGAAATCCACAGGATGTCTATTCCAGTCATTTTTCTCTTGCCAACTTAATAACATTTGTCTGCTCATCTGACTTACTCCAGTTGTGGTGTTTAATGAGAACCAAACAGTTCAGGATTGATTGTAACACTGGTTTCCAATAACTAAATATCGACCATATATTAATTATGTATTATAGTAAGACTTTTAAATCATGTATAATTCACTTGTACTATACAAGTTGGCCAAAGTAGTTATATACTGGTGGAAATTCGACGTTTAAATACATTTTTGGGAGGGAGGGATTTATATTGGTTTGGGAGGAATCTCCTCATTAACACCCCTTTCTTCTTTTTGCTATATATTGTATTATTGACAAAGGGTTCAATATGACCACATTTGAGCTATAGCCTAGATGGCCTTGGAAGTAATATAATTCATGGACACTGTGAACAAAAAATGTTTGGCCTATTACAAGTAGTCCACGACTTACAATAGTTATTTAGTGACTGTTCAGAGTTACAATGGCACTGAAAAAAGTGATGTGACTGTTTTTCTCACTTATGACTATTGCATCATTCCCAAGGTTACGTGATCCAAATTTGGACACTTGGCAACTGGTTCATATTTATGACAGTTGCAGTGTCCCGGGGTCATGTGATCATCTTTTGTGACCTACTGACAAGCAAAGTCAATGGGGAAACCAGATTCACTTAACAACTGTATTATAACAACTGCAGTGATTCACTTAAGAAATGTGTTTAAAAAGGTGGTAAAATGGGGCAAAACTCACTTAACAAATGTCATGCTTAGCAACAGAAATTTGGGGCTCAGTTGTGGTTGTAAGTCAAGAACTACCTGTATTTAGGTGCCAGAGAGAGGCTGTATTTTTTCATGAGCAATTGACATTTACTTTTCTTGCTTGGTTTTATATTTTTGTTTATTGGCTCTTTGGGACTCTCTGAACTTAGTTGTTTTCTTGCAGACGTTTCACTAGCCAAACTAGGTAACATCATCAGCACTGATGATGTTACCTAGTTTGGATAATGAAATGTTTGCAAGAAAACAGCCAAGCTCAGAGAGCACCAAAGACCCCTCATTTCAACCCTGAGCTACAGATATTCTCTTTTATTATTATTATTATTATTATTATTATTTTGCCTTTTTGATTTATTATAAAAATTAAGAAAATATTTTTGTGCAGCTGTGCATTAAAACATGTTCAATTTATCAGTGAATAAGTTTAATAAAAAAATATTCATCCAAGCCTTTTGTTTGACTTCACAGGTGATCTATATATTGGAGGAATAGCAAAAGAGACTTACAAATCCTTGCCAAAATTGGTCCATGCCAAAGAAGGATTTCAAGGCTGCCTTGCCTCTGTGGACCTCAATGGGCGTCTTCCAGATTTGATTTCAGATGCTCTGTTTTGCAATGGACAGATAGAAAGAGGATGTGAAGGTATGGTGTATCATTTCATAGACTTGTCTCAAACTCTTATAGTGTAACCAAAATGTTTCTAAATTTAATTTCATAGTTGGGGAGCTATAGCATCTTTTCTGCTGTTATTTGTATTTGGATGCTGCCAGTTTCCCATCTTATCAATTTGTTCTTTGTTACAGATGCTAAATTAGTTTACATAATTAATGAAAGTGGATGTTGTTGGTTGAGAAATGCATTCCAATGGCACAAAGCTCAATTCAAACTTGAGAACATTAAGTTATCTACCAGAACACAATTGGTCAATTCTGCCATGAATTAGCTGATTTGCCTGTCTTTGTTTTGTTTCTGCAGTATCTTAATTAATTGTTGTGCTAATTAGCTCCCATGCAGCATTTTATATAACTACAGTGCATAGATACTAGTTACAGCACTGCAGTACATAGATAGTAGTTAGAGTATAAATTAACTAACTTAATTAAGATGCACATTTCTAATACACATTAAGAGAAAAAGAGATATTAGGATTCTACAGAGGGTCCGAATCTAGGGACTCTTCCAGCAGCCAAGTTAAAGTGTTCTCTACCAGTCTTGAAATGGCAGAAAAAAGGCTGATATATATTTGCTGTCCATATTACTAGTTTCTTTCCTGCCACAATAAGGATTCTGATAAAATGGTATTTGAAATTTCCTTATCTAGAGTAGAATGGAATCGTTTTGATCAAAATGACTGCTTCTCAAATTAAGAGGGAGCATTCTCCTGGAGAGATATTTAGTACTTGACTGAAGATTCTAGAGCAGCGGTTCTCAACCTGTGGGTCGTGACCCCTTTGGGGGTTGAACGACACTTTCACAGGGGTTGCCTAAGACCATCGGAAAACACATATTTCTAATGGTCTTAGGAACCTGTCTCGCTTTCAACTCCCCCTAAAATTCTTCATTTAGGCAGGCTTCCAGAGTTCGACCGGCAGGATGCAAGTAATCCCTCCCCCCTGTCCTGCCGCCTCCCATGGCACCGCACTGCTCTGCGTCCCATGCCTCAAGCCTCCATGGCACAGAACCGCTAGCGTGGTCCCCAATGGCTGCTGACGTGCTCCCCACCACTGGCGACCATGCAAGCCCTGGCAATTGCTCCAGCCAAAGAAGCGCGTGGCTGGGAGGCCGCTGCAGCACCGATCTTCTGCACCCATCAGCTAGCAACCCCCTGAATGTGCGCTTGTCAGCTGGGAGGTCTGGTGATGGAGCCGGCCGGTGTGGAGGGCGATGGGGAGGTGGCGGCTCGGCGGGCGGGTTCCCGCCTGCCCGCGAATGTCAGGCCCACGGGGCTCGACGCAGAGTTGACGGTCCAATATAACTTCTCTCCTCAGATGAGAAAGAAGGAATCTCTCCCACCTGTGTCCCTTCCCCCCCCCCTCAAGCAACAACAGGAGGTTGCAGACAACTAAGTCAGCCAGTGCAGGAAGCCCTAGAATGGGTAGTCCAGGGCACCTGGTTGCAGTGCTGGATGTCTTTTGCTCCTTCTAGAAGCCGGTGGCAAGAGAAAGAAGTCGTTCAAACTTCAAGCTAACTATTGGATGCCTATTCACACTTTTTTTTCCCTTTTTTTTTTGAGTACTTGTCTGCCAACCCACTCCATCTTCCACCCAAGCATAACTTTTAAGGATTTTAAGGATCTTTGAGAGGAAGAGAGAGAGAAAGAAATAGAGACAGGGAGAGAAAGAGGGAAAGAGAAATAAAGAGAGGGAGAGAGAAAGAGAGAGGGAGAAAAAGAGAGTGACAGGGAGAGAGAAAAAGAGGGAGAAAGGGAAAGAGAAAGAAAGGGAGACAGAGGGAGAGAAAGAGAGGGAGAGAGAGGGAGAGAGAAAGAAAAAGAGAGAGGGAGGGAGGGAGAGAGGGAGGGAGAGAGAGAGGGAGAGGGAGAGAGGAAGGGAGAGAGAGAGAGGGAGAGAAAAAGGGAGAAAGAGAGGGAGAGAGTGAATCTGGTATCCCCCATTAACTTTGCTTGTCAGAAGGTTGCAAAAGACGATCACATGACCCTGGAACAATGTGACCATCATAAATATGAATCAGTTGCCAAGCATCAAAATGTAAATCCCATGACCCTGGGGATGCTGCAATGGTCATAAGTGTGAAAAATGGTCATAAGTCAAGGACTACCTGTACTTTATCACTTTTTTTCCACTTGTAACAATGAAAATACATCCTGCATATCAGATATTTACATTACGATTCATAACAGTAGCAAAATTACAGTTATGAAGTAGCAACGAAAATAATTTTATGGTTGGGGGTCACCACAACATGAGGAACTGTATTAAAGGGTCGCGGCATTAAGAAGTTTGAGAACTACTGTTCTAGAGAAAAACATTATCTGGAAGGAGATAAACATTCTTCCTCCACTTATTCAGATTTGACTTAGAGGTTTGGCCCCTGGCCAAAGATCATCACTGATTCCTATTGCATTTCTGGTGGCATGTGCAGAATAGTGCTCTCCTGCAGATCAGATCAAGGCTAACACTTCTTCTTTGGAATTGACAAAAATGCACAAAATGGTTTCAAGTGGAAACCATCTTCAATTGCTCAGCTTGGTAATTATATCCATCCTGCAGTTATTTGTCTGCATCCCACCAGCTGGTAAATTTTCAGTTTTTTCATGGGCATATATTTGAAAATTTGTCAAAGAAGGACCACCAGATAGTTTATGCATATTTATCTGTAATGTGAGATAAAAAAAACAGTCATATGACTCAATCATTTAATTAGGAGTGACTAGTCATTCTATTGTATTTGTAGAACAAGAATTTTCAGATATAGAACATGAAGGGAGAAAAACCAATGAATTATATGTCCATATTATATGGATTTTATTTAGATGCTGTACTTCATTCTCTAGCTAGGTGGCAAAAGCTAGCTGATCTCAAGATGCTAATCATCTGATTAATAGATAGATGGGACACCACTCAGAAATATCAGAGTTTGAAGCCCAGGCAGAGAGACTGAATACTGTTATCAAGAAAACAATACAGATGATATAGTTTTATCATCAAGAGAAAAAAGTAATCTTAAAATAATTTTCTTTTATAATTAATTTTAAATTAAATATTGTTACTGCAGTTATTCACCCAGATGTATTTAGCATTAGTTCCTTGCAAAATATATTATGACACATATCCAATTAATAAATATGTCACAGAGAATTTACTGCTTTTTCTTTTTTTTCCAGCACCCAGCCAGGGTGGATTCTACCTGTTAAATGTTCAATTTAATTGATCACTTTTTCTTCTTTATTTGTACACTATTCTTTTCTTTTTTGTTGTTGTTAGGGTTGATTGTATACTTTTGTTTGGTTTAATTTTGTTTTGTTTTGTATTTTATTCTCTATGATAAAACAATAAATTAGTAATAGTAGTAGTAGTAGCAGTAGTAGTAGTAGTAGTAGTAGTAGTAGTAGTAGTAGCAGTAGTAGTGTCATTATATCAAAGATTTTCTCATGTACTGCTTCATGACTATTTCCTTAATAATAATAAAGCTGGAAGGGACTTTGGAGGTCATCTAGTCCAAGCCCCCAACCCTATACCACTCCAGACAAATGATTGTCCAGTCTCTTCTTAAAAACTTTCAGTGTTGGAGCATTCACAGCTTCTGGAGGTTGTTCCACTAGTTAATTTATAATTCTTGCTTAGGCTGGAATTATATTCACTCTTTATATTCTCGGTCCCAGTAGAGAAGATCATGGAAGAAGTCTGAAGGAATGTTTTAAAACTGTACTATAGGATTTGGTAAATACTAAAATATCATAAGACTTTTTTTAATGGTAAGCAAGGATCATTGGATAGAAACCAAAATAATTTCAGAGAAATAAATTTAATGCAATCCATAATCTCAATAACTAACCTCTTAGTTTTTAAAGATGAAATTTATTCTATGCATTTGTGTGAATAAGGAACAAAAATCTTCCACCTTCTCTCTCTCTCTCGGGCAGAGCGGTGGCCTGTAATTGAGCTTCCTCAATTAACCTTCTCTCTTTTCAGTGATCAGTGAAAATGATGTACTCTCCCCACTTCAGATTTTATCAAAAAAGAGCCTCCTATAAGCACAGTTGCAAAATATATCCGATGGTTATTTTGTGACAAATGTATGTTTGTTTAGGAGCAAACAATTGTTTCAAATAATTCATAAGCATTCACAACATTCATTCTACCAAGCCTATAGTCATATATGGCAGCTAAAAAGGGGAGATTCCATCAAAGGAATCCATGGGGGAGGCACTCAAGATGGAAGTCAGGACTGCACAAAGGAAACCCCATTCCTTTTTAGCACAGATGTAAACATGGATGAGGCTTCAATCAAATATTCACAGATGTCATAATAATTTTTTTAAAGTACCATTCTTCTACTGTAGACATTCCAAGATTCAATATTCCTTTACAACCCAGAAAGCCACCTGCCTGCAGCAAAAAAATTGCAGAGGTTTTGAATTGAGGAGATTTATAAATTTTCTACATACAGTAAAGGTCTGCTGATCAGTTTGATATGAAGAGCCAAAACCCCACATTCATCCATTCATTTTTTTACTACTTACATGTTCATTCATATTATTTAATTGTCCACAAGGTATTATTTTTGTTTGAATTTTTAAATCCTTATGACTTGAATTCTAATTTTAATTTGATGATTAATGTTAAAAAATTAAAGTGTGACTCAGTATATGAATACATAGCTTCTATACACCTAAAAGTAATTTCACTTTATTGTGTAAAGCTTGCAAATCACAGATTCCAGAGCAGGTGAGAAAGAAGACAGATTGTGATACATTCTATTAGTGATTAGATCTTGGTATTAAAATAATCATTTAATTATGTAGCACCCAAATTCTTAAGAATCACCTTAATTGCCAAGTAATTTATAAAGCTTATTTACAGAACCAAACTGAAAGGCTGAAAATAATCTGAATGGATGAAGTCAGAGTCTGACATTAGCTCTGAATACATTCAACCTATACTTAGGTCTTTGTTACAAAACCAATGAAAATGGGTTTAATATTGATGTCAACTGAGGACAGTATTATATGACCTAGATTAGCAACAGTGGTTAGTGGTTTGGTCACTAAGTCAAAGGAAGAGGGTCCAGCTAAATTAGTAGCTCTACTCTACTTGGATTTAAGTTCTAGTACTGAAAAGGGACTGTTCGGTAGAAGGCGCTCTGTAACTGCAGCTCCCAAGCCACCCAGATCCTACCACCCTTTTATGCCATTTTTCACACAGATTTCCTTTTCCAGATCCGAAAAAGACAACCTGATCTGGGGACTCCTGCTTCAGATTTTGTACCTCTTTGAGCTTTTCAGTTGCTGTCCAATCTCTTCTTATTCTGCAGTCCACTCCCACACTAGTTTCACTCAAGGCTCAGTAGCTTTTGAAATATCTGATGGGGCTCTCACAAAACTGCCCCACAATTTATTGTGTTTTGTGTATAACTCAATTTATTAAGATTTCCTCTTTCAAATATTCTGAAATGGACTTGACCTTTTACTTCCATTTCTTTCCTCTGGTTTTTAAAAAAGCCAGATATTACAATTGTATGTGAATCCTTATAGTGGTAAAGAATATCCTTTTTTTCTTTGGCTTCATCCAAAACGCATCCAAAATAAATCTACAACTCATCACACTTTTCCAATATTTATTATTTTTATTTATTTATTTTATTCATTTGTATCCTGCCTTTATTACAGGTAGCCTTTGACTTACGACCATAATTGAGCCCAAAATTTCTGTTGCTAAGTGAAACATTTGTTAAGTGAGTTTTGCCCCATTTATGACTTTTCTTGTCACATTTGTTAGGTGAATAACTGCGGGTGTTAGTAATATGGTTGTTAAATGAATCTGGCTTCCTCATTGACTTTGCTTGTTGAAAGATTACAAAAGGTGATCACATGACATAGGGACACTGCAACTATCATAAATATGAATCAGTTGCCAGCCTCTGAATTTTGATCACACGATCATGGTTGTAAGTATGAAAAATGGTCTTAAGTCACTTTTTCAGTGCCGTTGTAACTTCAAATGTTCACAAAAGGCAGCAAAAATATCCAACACACTTTCCTCCTCCTAATATACAGTTTGCTTCATCATAGTATGTTCACCAAACTACAGACATCAATCATGTTTTATAAATCAAAAGACTTTTTCACCCAAAATAAAGTCAAATGCAAACTACAATATATAAATCAGATAATTGTGAGATAGTTGCTGTGTTCCAAAAAGGCAAGAAAGCAACTGTATGATTAAAGCTCTGCCCCTTTTTACATGCATCACATGAAAAAGGTTTAGAGCTTTGACTGTGGTCCCAGTTGTAGATCACAAAACCATGTGCCTTTTAATGACATGTGTTAGTTGCCACATGATGCCACACCTGTCTCTTTCTGATCTTTGGGAGAAAGGAAAGCCAACAAAATATTTTGCATAACATAGAGGAGTATGTTCAATTAACTGCCTACTGAAGCTGCTCCATTTCTGCTAAATCTAACCTTTTCCCAGGCTACATTCATATAAGAAGTTAAGTCACAAAATAAACAAGATTAAAAAATATTGTGCAAATGTAGCTACTAGGTCTTTAACTGACTCACATAGGATGTGAACTGAATTATAGGGTATAGTTCTTTGCATACATTTGAATCCAGGGATTTTAACTCTTTTGGTCTTGTACACATATATGAAATTTTGAGACTAATTGGTTGCCAGAAAAGAGCTGTGGAGAATCCCAAAATGAATATCATAACACCTATGGCTATTAAACAGCATCTATTTATCTACCAATCTTCAACCTTCTTTTGTAATTTTTTTTCCTTTTGCTTAAGTATTTACAAGAATATGTTAAGTCACACCAAAAGCAAAGTGTCTGCTCTATAGATTATGGAATAAAAATGGTGGATGCCTATTTGTGTCAGTTATCTTATGCCTGGCATATTGATATATATCTATATATTTTAATAAGCTGGAAAAGGAAATAGTAAGTGTCAAAGCCATTCTCTAGCACGTGGGCATCTACAAGCCCTTCGATTCCTCTAGAGATTTAGGATGGCAAAGGATAATGTGTTAATGATTGAATTGTTTATATCTGAATGTAACAAATGGCTACTCAGGATTAAACCATCCATTTCTTTTTGCTAATGTGTTCACATTTATCCTATGAAAAGAAATGATTTTAATTTTCCTTCATTACATGCCATCAGCTCAATTAACCATTATATTTGTAGTAAATGCTGGCAATTATTGCATTCTCATTTTGGCTTGCCTGGATATTTATGTCTATTAGCATTAATTTATTTGCATTACTTGGAATTTCTTTTCCTCTTTAAGAGCAGCATGCACTTTTTTTTCTCTGAACAATTTCTCTGTGTTTGCTGCCATTTCAATATTTGCTTACTAACATTTAATATATTTTGCTTTTTTATTTTGCTGACAAAGTTGCATTGATGAAAGCTGATTTGCAAGGTAGATGCCCTTGTGTATATTAAACAAGACTGAAACCCATACAACGCATTGAGAACCTTCAGCCACTTTTGTGCTGATATCTGTGTGTTGTAGCTCATTTTCCTCTTCTTCCCATTAAAAAATATGGCACAGAGAGCTATCTTCTTCTGGGATATATTGAATACAGGCTTTCAGTCTTGTGTCTTATTTGTATAGTGATTGCTTCAGTGCTTTGAACCTGCATCTTTCTTTAACGTTTTGTTTGTTTATTTCTCCCAGTGGTCTAATTATGATCTTTAGAAATAGAATAGTTTTGTTTCTCATGTGTAAATGTCATTTTTTTTGAGCATGTTGATGCATTAGTTGGCTGATTTCTCCTCTATCTATCTACTTTGTTCTTAAAAACCTGCATGGGGCAATTTAAAGCATGCAAAAAGATACTTGCCAACATTCCTGCTAACGAGAAAATATGATTTTTTTTAATTTAAAAAATGCCAACCCAAAGGTCTTCTGTCTGTTGGTAGATAAAGGTGTTCATCAAATCATTGTTTGAATAGCCATATTTTTCTTTTCCTTGCTTGCTTTTAATATGTGGCTTTGTTTTGGTTGTTTGTATTTTTTTGTTGTTGGTTTTTTTGTTTTGGTTTTTTAGTTTTATATTCTGTTTTCCACAGTCTCTAGTAGAACTCATTGTTTTGGAGAAGATAGTTTATAGATGTTAAAGTAAAATTAGAAATATGTCAAGAACCACCAGTTCCTTTTGCTTGAGTTACTTGCTTCTCTTATGTTATTATCATGACATGAATTCGTATCTTCATATTCCTCTGTGTTACAAACAAAAACCATATGTCTCTACATAACATGAATATTATTAATAATATGGGTTAATCCCCTTATCAGCTTTTTTCCCATAATTTAGTCTAAAAACATGAGATGTTGGCAACTACCCTGTATGATCCAATGACACATATGGTCACTCTGAATGACAGTCCTTCATGTTCTTTTCTATGGTATGTTTTATTGTTAGGCCCCAGCACCACATGCCAAGAAGACTCCTGTGCCAACCAAGGTGTCTGCTTACAGCAATGGGATGGGTTTAGCTGTGACTGTAGCATGACTTCTTTCAGTGGGACACTGTGCAATGACCGTGAGTACATGAGCACCTTCCCTTTTTTTCCACTCTCTCTAAGAAAGTTTTAAGAGTTCCAAAGGGTTGCCTTGAAGTGAATGTCCCAAAAGTTGCATCAGTTTAATAAGTTATAACCAACTGAACTACCAAACTCTGCAATGAATACTAGGTGTTCCTATTGTGGCTATAGGAAATGTTTGACCTAAGTACAGAACTGCCTTAGAAAGCAGAAAACAAATATGCAGGGATCCTGGAATTGTGGTTTTGGAAAGTTTATCTACTATATAGATTTGAATAACATATTGACATAAAAGATACAGTATTAGATAAGGGCATTTTATTCTTGGTATCAGTTTCTTAACATTGGGCTGCGGTTTTTGACTTCTTTCCTCTCTTGTTGTACTCAGATGTATTATAACTTTGTAGTATTATACCACAAAGTTGAAATTACAGATGACAGTTCTTTCTTACTTTCCTACACCAGATAGGTTTAGGTGACCTGAAATATTCCATCAAATAATAACTTCAGGCTTTATTTCAGTTAAATGTCATCTGAATAAATTTTGGTATCACTTATTAATTCTATAACCTTTAGGGATGAAGGAATTGTGTTTTTAGATGTTAGAATCTTCTGACATGAGTCAATACAATGATGAACAAAAGTCACAATACATATATTTACCATCTTAGTACATAATGAATTTATGTTTAGTAATTTAGTAATCGCTAGAAAATATCTGGTGGGAGAATTTCCACTTGTGCTGTAAGCAAGATTAAGCAAGTCATTTTCAAGAAATCTTTGTATATTTCATCAAATAAACAAAGGCGGGTAATATGTGAGACATGAACACTAGTTTTCATTAAACCAATTTTTAAAACATTTGCAAACCTATATTTCCCCATATTTGTAATTCAGTTATTTTCAGCTTGTCACTATTGGATAGTGTACTGAGGCATATAACCACAAATGCAAGCATGATTTTTTTTTTAGATTAGATAACCTTTATTGTCATTTTTAAAGGTTATCTAATTTTTTAAAAAAAAAACATGCTTGTATATGTCCCAGTGCACTATCCCATTTGTTAAATGTTTCGATAAACTCCTGGAACCAGTATTACTTTATCTTTCAGTACAGTGCATTCTTAATGCAGACAAAGATAAGGAGCAAGAATAATGCTAAGAGAACAAATGTGCAAGAAGGGGCGATAGGTTTGTTGCTTACAGTTGTAGCCCCAATATAGAACCTGATGTGAGGTTGACCCCAACCCTCCTATCCTTTCATAAGGATTTCAAGACTGTCAGTTGGTTTGGGCTTCCAATTGGGGGAAAGTGTAGTGGAGGTGGTTGATCAAGCATCAATAGATCCCGCTTCCCTGCCCCTGCCTCCCCACATGGCATTATATTTGAATATCTGGTTTTAATTTATGTTTTAATGTATAGTATAAATACATTTTATGACTGTAAGCTGCTCACAGTTACCCTGTGGTAAGATGGGTGGCCAATAAATTTTATAAATAAATAAATTAAAAAAAAATAAACCCAGGGATGCTAAACTGTCCATCTACACCGTACTGGGTATCTTCCAGGTTCCTGCTTTTTCTGACATTTATATTAAAAATAAATGCTTGCAGCATTGACTTCTTTCCAAAAATTCTCTGGGTACCAAATGCACCCACAAACATTCTTAGAACTGCATTCCAGTTCTTTGCTTGAAAATATACTCAACTGCTCCCCAAAAGGACAAGGTAAGCAGGGGCAGGATAAATTAACACCTCTGTGTGACTTAACAAACTTCCCCCATCTAGAAAATTACCCAGCATGCCTGCAGCATGCCAGCATGGATACTGGGAGTTGTTAGTAAAAAGAAGATACAGCCATAGGAATTTTGAATGTGACACAGATGTGCCAGTTTAGTGAATTAGTGAAATAAGGACCCTTAAGGAGAGGATGAGCAGAACATATACCCCCATACAGAGAGGGGGGGGAGAGAGATATCAGTTATGACTCTTTCAGGTTTCCTACTAGCAGTTCCTTTTTTTCAAGAAAGGACAAAAAAAAAGAACATATCTAGAGAACCAGCTCCATGTTAACCTTTAAACCATTTGATTTATGGGGACACTTGCCAGGATATTCACTTCCTATTTACCAGATTATTTTTCCTCTTTCAAATAGAATACTTAGTATTCACTACTTTTTTTGAATTAAAAAATTAATTGACAATTTACTGTCAGTTTCCATGGTGTATTAGGTTCCTAATCTAAGATATAGGTTTTTCAGCCTTCACAAAATGATGCTGCAATGTCTTTCCCCATACTTTAAGATGCTTCCATCCGGCAGGTTTTGTGCCATGATATTCTGTTTCCATGTGGCAGTTGATAAACTAAAATCAGCCATAGTTAATGGTGTCCTCTTCTGAGGCACAGCAATGTGAAATGATGCAGCAGCAAAGACAAAGCCATGCAGTCAGTGACAGCCATATTGGTATAGCAGTTATCACCTTCTTTCTCAACTGTGAAAAAATGCTGCACTGCCCATCCTAACCTGTCCTAATAAATGAGATGGAGCTGGTTTGCACTACTTTATTGCCATGAAGAGACACATATTTACATTCTTAAAATAAAACCTGTTTTTGATTTTAAAAGATTACATTCAAAATGAGGGTTGATAGAGAAACCCGGACTATCATGGGGACATTGAAAACTTTGCTTTTGGCCACTCTGTGTTCATTGATGTTCATGAAATGATACAGATATTATTTTTGTACTCAGGATCATATTTTCACAGTGTCAACCAAGGTGACCTCAATTCATGGAGGCTTGACATTTGTATCACCTCCAGATTTCACTTCACGCCTCTTTCTTTGAGGTATTATTTTTGTCCTTTGCGTAGAACCTGGGCAAAATCCACAAAAGTGATAAATAGAAATGTAATGGTTAAGAGAAATGTGCACTGAGTTTATGCATTAATATATGTCTGCCATATTCTAGTTTGAAAGGCCAGCATCAGATGTACTAACAATGAAAATAACAATTATATTACTGAGGTGTAACTCAGGATCACATCGTTAGTATATGTCTCAAATTACTGCCAAGGTGCTTTCCTGAAAGCTGTACAGGCCTGGATGGCTTCAGATCAGCATGGACAAGACTGAATGCCTGGGAGTTTTAGGATCCCCTGTATCTAGTAATTTGCCCTCAGTCAGGGATTCTGTTTAATCTGGGGGTTCTCCTGGACTTTGTATAGTGCTTGAAGGGCAGTGGTAGCCATGGCCAAGAGGTCTTTTGCTCAATATATTACACTATTCATAGTCACTCATGCTTTAATCACCTCCGAATTAGATTTCTGCAATGCATTTAGTATAGGACTGATTTGAAGAGAATTTGGAAGCTGCACCTGGTCCAGGAGCACTGGGAGTAGCAGGCACACCTCAGTACACCCATTTAACACTGCTGCACCAGCTCTCAGTAGCTTCCAGGTATAATTCAAAGTGCTGGTTATCACCTTTAAATGAATTTTATTTGCAGGACCACCTATTCCTACTGGTTTCTGCCCATCCCAACTAATCTGGCAGGGTGGGCAAGCTCTGGGTCCCCTTGAAGGAATTATATGTGATGGGGTCTCACCTGTCTTATGGATTGTCTCCCCTCAGAGATGCTTCAGAGGAAATGCTGATTCTGTTGGCCATCAGGAAGATCTGGCTCTTACCCCAGACACTGGAGCCAAATGGCCTGGGTGTTGATGGATGGATGGGATTTTTTTTTAGAGTCTGAATTTTTTTCATTGTTTTAAATGGTTGTTTTACAATATTGAGCTTTATTTTGTTTGCCATGTAGAGCTCCTTCTAGTAGATGAGTGTCATTTAAAAAAAATATTGCACTTGTTGATGATCTTTGGTATGGCGGGGTAGTCCATTTAGCTTGGCTCTCCTTGATTTTTCAGTGACTTTTGATACTACTGCAATGCTACTCCAGACAGGATTGGTGCTTAATATGAGAGTCCTTTCTGGACTCATAGTTCCTGTTGGAAGAGCAGGTGACAGATAGAGTTAGGAGGGAGGGCCTTTGCACAGAGTTTTTTCTTGGGCATCAATTGTACCTGTTTCTGGATTGGAAGGTCCCTTTCACTGCAACGTATGCCATAGTAATCTCCCAGCTAGATTATTGTAATGCATTTTATGTGGTCCACATAATTGCATTACAATAATCCAGATTGCAATGGCACAGGCAGTTTTGGGCATTTCACAATATATTCATGTGACACCTCTGTTCTTCAAACTGCCTTGGCTCCCAGATGGTTTTCAAGTGTAGTTTAAATTGCTGGTTGTCATCTATAAGGACCTACATGGTATAAGACCAGGATACCTCAGGGACTACCTATCTCCAGTCATTTCTGCTCACCCCACCAGAATCAAGAAATCCATTCACCTTCCAAAAGATTACAATAGTACAATTGGCAGATATGTTTGGTTCTATGGGTCAAAATAAGATTAAGTATTATTATTACAATTACTATTTTAAGGTTCTGTCTGGTATATTCTGGCTTGGGTTTAGTTTAATCATTTGTGTACTGCCCAAATTTAGTTTAATCATTTGTGTACTGACTTACCTCTGTGGCTGGGTGGGTGGTTTTATAAATTGTTTAGTTAAATAAATGCTATGTCATACAGTTCTTTCAAAGTCAGTATTTTTCTGATTTTAACTGAGCTAAGGCAAAGTGTAAGAAATCTGTAAATTTAAAATTAAATTAATTAAATCAAGCTAATCAAATAATTCAAAACGATACATTCTTTTTTATAAGTATTGGCTATGTAGTTTCATTGCTAAACAGTGAACCGATATTTAATAATGATAATGAATGGATGAAATGATGAAATAAATTCTTCAGAGTTCAAGAGTTTTCAGAAAGAACACTTGAAGTACCATGGACAATACATTTACTTGAAGATAAATCCTAATATTAATTCTTGGAAACTTGGAGAAATTTGTTGAAAATACTGTTTATTTTGGGCATAAAACCTT